AAGAGTGGTTGTGCCCATGCATATCAGTCTGACCTGAATTTCTAAGGGCCTCCAGTATTATCCTCTGCTTATCCATGCTGGTTTTGACTTTCTGTTCACCGTGACTCTTTAAAAGCACTGCTCAAATGTACGTTAATGGATTCTAGCCTCTGGGTCTTTAGTTCTCAATTTACGGTATTAAGAAACCCAGTGTATGAATCATAAATCGACTTCTTTCTTGGAATATGACATTGAGCGTAGCATTAGCTCATACTCATCATGCAACAGGCAAACCACATGCTGGGTTACCTTAGGAAGAGCATGAGCGCAGATTGAGGGAAGTTATTACCTCTTTGGCACGGCACTGAGGAGGCCTCACTTAAAATACCATGTCCTATTTTGGGCCTCCTGGTTTAAGAGATGCTGAAAAACTAGAGAGTCCAGGGTGGTCGAGGTCCTAGAACATGTGAGCTATGAGGAGAGCTGGAGGGAGCAGAACTGTTTTAGCCTGCAAAGAGAAGGTGCAGGGTGATCTAAAGGGAGCCTACAGCTGTTGGGAGGGCAGTAACAAGATTGTGGGGTCAAGTCCTAGGTGATACAACAAGGGTCTACAGCTCTGAAATGTAGTATGGGGGGTTCTGGAAGGGCTTCAAGGAAAACTTGCTCACAAGGAGCGTGGCAAAGGAGAGGGAGCAGTTTATGAGAAGTGGTGGATCTCTGTCCCTGAAAAGGTTCGGGACTTAGCTCAACAGAGCTACAACAGCCCTGATCTAGCATTGGTGATGGCTTTGCTTCAAATAGGAGGCTGGATGAGGAACCTCCAGAGGCCCCTTAAAATATCACAGAAGAGTTGGATTTTTTGGTTTTGGGGTTTTTTTGGTGGTGGTGGTGGTGATGGTGTTGTTTTTCCATACAGCTTCATGCCCTTCAGCAAGCAGCTGTGTGCTCTCAATGAGTATTACCAACTGTACCTCGCCCTGTATAGAAGGAAACTGTATGCTGTTGCAGCAAGTGATCAAGCTCTTGTTTTATTTTAGTACGAATTTGTTTATCACTTGTCTCTTTTGAATAAGAACTTTTCAGGCTAAAATCTTCACTCTGATCGTAGACGTCAGGTTAATCTTGGTGAGATAATGCATTTAAAAATAAAGAAGTACATGTTGTAATGGGGAAGACTATCCTATTTCTTCTTGATCTCTCAGGGCAATACCAGTTGACCGTAGCTAGATGCAGTCATTTTCTAATTTAGTGTAAGCTCACTCACTCTGTTGCTCTGCCGAGTCCCCAGTCCTTCTGCTACATCTGACATGTCCCGCTTTGATTTGCTTTACTCCTGCAAGCTGCCCCCTCTCAGGCTGACAGTCTCCAGAGCAATTCCTGTGTTCTCCCTTGCATCACCCCTGGATAATCAGGCACACAGTGCTCAGCAGTGTTATTTGGGGCTGAACAGGATGCCCCCCGGTCTAACATGCTCACTCTGCAGAACCAAGTGAGCTTCTGGCATCATCTTTTTCCCTTGGTCTTTTACAGGACTTCTCTGGTCAGATGTTAAAACAATAAAACTATGAAGTATTTGAAGGGGTGGTTCTTCTGAAGCCTGTTGGGCATTAGGAAGGCTGTGGCACAACAGCATTTTTTTATATGATGAAAGGTTTCTTTTTGCTCAAGTTCTTTCTGACTGTGCCACTTGGAGCATTGTCAAATGCAACAATGATAAGTGTTGTTTGACTCTGGTGCATGTACCTTAATGTTGTCCTCTTTGGTTGTTTAAAAAAGTCTGTGGAGTCTCTTTGATGCTCCAAAACAGCCTTAAAAACATTTGATGAACCGAAACAACTTAAGTAATAATGCATATGAGTCCACTCTGAACAAGAAGCAAGGAAAAAAAATAAAACTGGCAGGAAGTTTTTGGATAGGCTCCACACGCTTTCACGTGTCAAAAGATTGTTTACTTTGAAAACTATGCTAAGAGCTAAATTCTTATCTCTTGAATAACAAGCCAACCTTTTGGCTATCATAGATGTGCTTTGCTGGGTCCGGTTGAAGTTGGGGGAAGTTAAGGTGTAGTTATACTCCTGCTGAGCCTGAGCATTTTCAGATGGTGATAACTGAGTTGAAGACTCATCGAGCAGCTACTGCTGTCCTAAATGTTATTACTGTGTATGCAGTTGCAAAGCATGTCTCGTTGCAAGTGATGTATTTTTGTAAAAAACACTTCTAGGCAAATGAATGTTATGTTCCTTTGTTTCCATCTCTCCTGCACTGTGGCTGTGCTTTAGAAAAGCAGTATTCTGCATTGAATTTCAGACCTCTTTGAGCCTTGACTTCTCAGTTCACTGTAACAAACACTTAATGCTTTGTGCTTTTGATTAAATGACACTACTTCCCCTCCTTCAACAAAACCAAGCTTGCAAGTCTCAAAAAAATTTATTTGTGGCTTTATCTGTTCTTAATTTTATCACTGTTTGACCATGACCACAAATTCCAACTCTGTTATTTTTAGTTTTTTCTAAAAAAAAACAAACCTGCAAACTTTGAAAATGAAAATTTGCACAATTCAGTGACCGTAGCTTGTCATGGTTCGTGGGTATACTGGGAATATCTCATGGTAGAACAAAATTATACTTCAACTCAAATGAAAGGGAAGAAACGCCCTTCCTACAGAAAGTTTATCCAGGGCTTATTATAATTGTTAACTCTTTAGGTACTGCAGTATTATGATGCTTGATCAGTGTAGAGAGGCTATGGTTTGTGTTTTCCTGAATTAAAATCTACATATTTTTTCTCTCTGAGGTAAAGTTAAGGTGTTTTAAGGGCCTGCCTGTTATACATCGTAAGGACAATATATTGATGTAGCATGGAAACAAATGCGTTGTGTGTATGAGTTCTTGCTGCTTGCCTGTTTCTTGGTCTGAAAGAAAACAGCTACAGATGTAAGGTACAGGTTTGGAGAAATTGTCAGGAAAAACTTGTCATGCATAGAGTGTAAAGATAATGGTATAGCATATGTCATGGTTATATTCTCCACAATGCATGAACTGTAGTGGGGAACTAGCTAGTGGAACTAGCTTCAGAAGTATTAAGGCAACATCCATGAATCAGTAAGAGGTTTGCAGGTTGGCTGAGCTTGATAACATTTACCCCAGAACATGTGACCCTGAGCAGTCTGAGCTCCCACCATTGCAGGGGGGACAGGTAGGGGGGCTTTACAGGAGGCTGGAAAATGCTGTTCTACACCCCCACCCCCCAAAAAAACCCAAGGAAAACAAAACAAACCCCCAAAATGCAAAACCCTGAGTCTTCCAATTGGTCAATCAGACTTCAGGTCTTAAGAAACTGCTAGGAAAAGCAAACCATCTA